ACCCCTCCCCGCACCCCCCAGTGCTCCCAGAGCTGTTCCCAGAGGTGTTCCAGAGGTGCTCCAGTGCCCACCTCAGTACCCAAAACCAACAGTCACATCCCCTCCTCCGGTTTGGGTATCCAAACAGGCCATCCCAACCACACACCTCCCCTCCTCCAGGGACATCGTGTGCCCTCACTGCTATGCAGAAAGAGCTTACTCGAGCCTTGACATCCCGCACGAGGTCCAGGTAGGGCATCCCCGGCTTCACCATCAGCATGTCCGCTCCCTCACGCACGTCCCGGTCCTGTGAGGGGAACATACGCGTGACCCCGGCAGCTCGGGGTAGAATAACATTTTCCAGCAAGGCCACGTTTGGTTTTCCCCAGAAGTTTGGACCTGGTGGTTGGTTTTCCCAGGAGGGATCCCAAAAGAGTCTGGCGAGCCCTAATGGCCACAGGAGCCCACAGATGGGATGTGATGGGGGAGAGCAGACGCACAGTGCCTGGGTGAAGCTGGTGGTTGTGTGTCCCTGGGCCCAACACCCTGAGCCTCAGCAGGGTACAGGGTCACCAGTTCCATGGCTCCCAGTGCACAGTCCTCAGGACCAGCTCCCCGGCAGGCTGATGGGGCCTCACATTTCTCTCACTTGAGAGGGAAGAGCCTCAGCCATTTTGGTTGGCGTGCCTCCCACCACCTTCTACCTCCTACACCCCTGGGCTTGCTCTCCCCAAACCCACGGCCCTTGGTGCTGCCCCAGGCAGCCCAGCCCTGGCTCACTCACCACAGCCCGCATTGCCAGGCCCCTGGCACCTGGGGGCAGCTGGTAGCATCGCCTGTCTCCGAAGGCAGGTTTGGATAGCGCAGCGTCCCTGGTGACAGGCAAGGCAGAGGGCAGGGAATGAGGGCCAGCACGGCTCCCCATGCCTCTCGCCTCCTACAGCTTCAGAAACATGAGGACAGACTAGGGCAAGTGCCTGAGCCAGTGGGGTCAAAAAGGGGGGGCTCTCCCGACCCACCTCAGTGTCCCAGGATCACTCTGAGAGGTCTAGCAGGCCCAGGCTGGCCCTGGGAGCTGTGCTTCAACACCCACTGCCCTCCCCATGCCCAGAGTCTGGGGTAAAATTGTCTCAGACATTTTCCCTTTTGCTCTTTTTTGAGGCAGGTTCCTCAGGGATGCCCCACTGGGGTCAGGCTGCTCTTGGGATGTGGTCTAATAGCTGACTGAGGGCAACACCATCTCCTGCAACTCCCCTCCTCGCTGCTTCTGGTGGCTGCAGGCAGCTCCCTCCCTGCCTGCCTTGCCACCAGTGCCCAGGACGAGCAGGTGAAGGGGTGGGACAGAAGATCACCCAAGGTTCTCTTCCCACTGGCCAGCCTCTCCTCTGCAAGGTACGTTTGTCTCCCTTTTGCACTGGAAAGTAGGAGGAGGGCACTCCAAAGAGACCAGTGTGGCCCCAGCTGCGGCCCAGGCTCTGGCTGAGCCCCCTTCCCAAATAACTATCTGGGAACGCACCTCCCAGCCAACCCGGTGCTGGCTGGGGACACTCACGGCTGAGAGACAGACCCACCTGAAGGGACCGTAGAAGCATGAAGCAAACTTGGCACTGTAGCTCATCACCGAGACCTGCCAAGGAGAGCGGAGCCATGAGGGCCAGAGGCTCAGTGCTGTATGCTGTATCCCTGTGCCGGGGCAGTAGCGATTCTCTCCCATGGCTGTTCTACACTCTGCCTCACATCCTCCTTCTCCTGCCAGAGGCCTGGCACCTTGCTGTCCCCGTGTCCGGCCAAGGACATTCCCTTGTTGCATGCACCAGGGCAGGGAAATGCCAGTGGCATGTCCTGGGCAAGGTGGGGGTTTGCTTCTCCCACCCCCTGCCCAGGACCTGTTGTGGTGCAGCCTCCACATGGACATTGCCTTTGGCACATGCAGATCCCGAGCTCACCTTGTTGCCCAAGTCATTGGAAATCAGTGCCTTCTTCATGGCCGCGATGCGCCCGTCCATCATATCTGAGGGGGCAACAATGTGGCAGCCT